AAGATGTTAACATCAGAGGAAGCTGGGTGAGGCATTAAATAGAATTCTGTACTGTTTTTGCATCTTCTCTGTAAGTCTAAAATTATTTCAAAATCAAAAGTGTTAAAAACCCAAATCTCCTGTGCATAAGAATTCCAAATAATTTATGTATAAATGCAGACCTTGAGGAGGTGGTGCATAACTCTACATTTCTTAAGTGTGGGCTCCATAAAGTGACTTCCTTCCAAAGAATACAGTTTGGAAATGGAGAGGGCCGGGTGCAGTGGCACATACCTGTAGTCTCAGTGATTTGGGAGGCCGAAGTGGGAGGATTTCTTGAGGCCAGAAATTCAAGACCAGCCTGGGCAACATAGCCAGCTCCTGTTTCTACAAAAACTAAAAAAATTGAGCCAGGTGTGTTGGTACATACCTGTAATCACAGCTACTTGGGAGACTGAGGCAGAAGCATCACTTGAGCACAGGAGTTTGAGGCTGCAGTGAGCTATGATTGTACCACTGCCCTCTACCCTGGGCAACAGAGTAACACCCCAACTCTTAAAAAAAGAAAAAAGAGAAAAGAAGAGTAATTTTACAGTGAATAAACTGAGCAGATAATACCTCAGCCAGAGATCAAGGTGAGCATCAACAATGATGCATCATGTTGATAGTAGGTACCCCTGATAGGAAGTGAGGACAATCACATTTTACTTTTGTGGTCTTCCTCCCCAAAGCATATGATCCCATTCTAATTGTGAGAAAATCATCAGGCAAACCCAATGGAGGGATATTTAACAAAATATCTGACCAGTGTTCCTCAAAACTGTCAAGGACATCACAAATAAGGAAAGTCTGAAAAACTGATATAGCGGAGAGAAGCCTAAGGAGGCATGAAGATTAAATGTAATATGGTATCCTGGGTGGAAATCTGGAACAAAAAGGGACATTAGCTAAAAACTAAGGGCATCTGAATATAGTGTGGATGTTATTAATAATGATGTATTGATGTTGTTTCATTAATTGTAACAAATGTACCATACTATTGTACAAAGTTTAATACTAAGGGAAAGTAGGTGCAGGGTTCATGGGAACTCTTTGTACTATCTTCATAACTTTTTCTAAATCTAAACCTTTTCTAAAAATAGACTTTATTTTTAAAAGGATACATATTGCATGATTGCATTATGCAATATGCAAGATCTTGAAATAACAAAATTGTAGAGATAGAGCAGGCATTCGTGGTTGCTAGGGGTTAAGGATAGTGAGGGGAACTCAAAGGAGAATTGCCGCAGGGAAAGCTCTGTGGCTACGGTGTAATTGAATATCTTGACTGTGGTGGTTGTTTCACAAGGCTATACATGTGACAAAATTGCACAGATCTCTACACATACAACCACACTCACAAATACACACACATAAATGAAATCATGTATATCTGGTGAAATCTGAATAAGCTCTATGGATTGTGCCAATGTCAATGTTTTGATTTTTACATTGTTCTGTGGTTGTGTGGGACGTCGGCATGGGATGGGGAGAGTTGGGAGACACTTGCATAGGACTCAGTATATTCTTTAGCAACCTCCTGTGACTCTGTAGTTACATAAAAATAAAAATTTTAAAAGTCTTTGAAAAATTGAAGACTTTGTGAGATGTCAGATGCCAGCATCTTAGTAAACTTTACTTATTAAGATGTGCCATTGAACCTAGCTGATTCATTTGTGCAAGGTTGTTTTCTGGTGTCATTTTCTTCCCACTTCTGGCAGACAGCTGAGGCAATTGTGAAGTTTGGAAATGGATTCCGGAGTCTTCTAGAGTACGGAGTATTGCTGACTATAATGGTGGTGGTTGGATCTCCTGGATTTATGAGTGGCTATGGAGGTCTTGAGGCGAGGGCAGCATGGATGGTTTGAGTGGGAAGAGGAGGCAGATACCATTCTGCTAGGAGTTTATTCTGCTTTACAAAGACACATGGTAAATCTTGAATTTTTTAAGAGTTCTGTTCTCACAAAAGAAATTTTGTGAAAATGAGAAAAAGATGCCCACTCAGGGTGGACACTACACCAAGAGAGCAGATCTTGGAAAGAGAAGTACAGGCTGGATTTCAGCCCTGAATTTTTCAGCCAAGTCCCCTCGTGCAGGCAGCAACTGGTGCAACCTTATATGATAGCCCTGGTGTACGATTATATTCTGTCTTATGTAGAATTATTAAGGGCAGTTACCAAATGAGTGGTGCAAGAGATAAAGAGGTGTTTCTGGACTGTGGTCATAAGATTTCCTGGAGAAGGTGAAGTTGGAATTAAACCTTAAAAATAGGTAGAATTTGGATAGGCAGAGAATGTATAGAGGATATTCATGATCTAGGAATGTTTGCTTGAATACAATTCAACAAGGCCTTGTCTTTCTTGCTCATTCTTCCACCTTTGGTACCTGGCAATGTGCAAGCAGGGAAGGAAAGAAGGGAGGATGGAATGAAGGGAGGGAAGAAGGAAGGAAAGATTTAACTGTATGTCCTCATTCTATTTTTTTCATTAACTTCTTCCATGCTACCACATTGTATTAGGATAGGATAGACTGCTAAGATAACAATCCCAGAGTGTTGCTGGCTTTACACAATGGTGGGAATAAAGTTGGAAATCAAAGGTAGGTTCTGTTGGGAAGGTACAAAGATGACAGGATCAGAGATTTTTTGACTTGAAGAACATTGGAGACACCGTTGAGAGTTTAACCTCCCATCTTATAAAGTAGGCAGATGAGACTCAAATAACTTTTGCTCTTGGATACAGAGTTCTTTAGTGACCAAGCAGGAACATATTCCATGTCACTTGACCCTTATTCCAGTACTCGGTGCCCTAAAAAGTAGAGAATTAAGCTTTAAAATATCAAGCTTTATAATGAGAGGATGTATAGTTTCCAACTCTTTTGAGGTTTTAACACTCATCATTTGTTACTTCCTAATCTTCCCATATGTGAATGTAACACTTTGGAACTAGTTTTTTCTTTAATTAATCCAAAATGAAAGCCCTTATGACACTTTAGAAAAGTGTATTACCACAGCTTTATAACGATTTAAAACTGGGCATTGGCATGTCCATAAAAGTGAAAGTGTTACTAATAAGGAATGGAAATGAACACACCACTGTTTTCCACTTACCCACTCCCTTTCATTGCCATTCATTATTTCATCTGACCTGTAAAGGGCCTTTTTACGACCGTGGGCAAATCCTTCAGCCCTGTGCATCCCATCGTCCTCACTCCCTATTGCATATGTGACAGGTTAAATTTTTCCATGTAGCAACTGATTTCCAACATCCTCACTATTCTGGTAATCGCCTCTCCCCAGTACAGGCAGCGAGGCTGGTTTGTGCTTATCCCCTCAGGGCATGTTTCTGACAGCAGAATGCAGGGAAAACATGAAAAATACTTTATTTCTGGCTTCAAATGTCTAGAAACTTGGGAAATTGAAAGGAATTGGGCACAGAGAAACAATGTGGAAGAAAGTTGGAGCCAGGCTTTCCAGGATCCCTTCTTCCTTCCCCTTCAGATTAGAAGAATGATTCCCTGGCTCTGCAAGAAAGATTCTGCTATATGCTGGTGGCATGGGGCCTTAAAAATTACTAAAAATAGAGCTGGAGAAAAATTAAAAAGTGTATATTCCTCCCACCCATCAATTTGTAGACTGAGATTTGGGCCAGCCGCATGTGTGGACACATCCAACTTTCCTGAGAATCTTTGTCAGCACATTTCTCTACTATGGACTGATTAAAAACTTTAGAGTTGAGCCAATCCATTCCTAGGCAACAGCTTTGTCCCTGCATGAGAAGCTGGTAGGAAGGGATTAGGGCCACTCTTGGAAGTCATTGCTGATTTCAGAAATATCAATGGAACTAATGAGTCCAAGTTAGAATGAGGATTATAGAATGCTTTAAATTGTCCCAGTTCAGTGCAAGACAGTGAGAGGAGGAGAGGAAAAAAAAGGCAAGTCCTATTCTACTAGAGGTTGCTGACCAAATTCTCTGAGTCTCAGGAGACGAGCTGAGGTAGCAGTGCTTCACTCCTCCTGCAACGGCTCCCTAATACTCTACTCCTGAAGACTTCCATTGACTGCTATAATTCTACCGCAGGTGCCGCAAATACCGAAAGTCACAGTGGATGTTATGCTGGGTCAATTGATGGCTAGGAATGGGGAGTGAGCAGGAAATGTTATGACTATAACATTTCCTGACTATCTTGTTGGCTTTTGAAAGACGCACGTCCAAAGGTAAGACAAAGAAAGAAGGCAAAAAATATATAAATGCCTGTATGTTCACATACAATTAAAGTATAATGTGCAAAGTCCTTAAGACAGGCTTTTAAACCCTACTTGTAAATACAGACTAAAAACTGGAACAGAACGGGTAGAAAAAACAGGCAGGGAAGCAGTGAAGACTCCGCCTTTCTTTTGAGACCCCATCACTCTTTCACAGCTGGCCATATTCTGCTTTAAACTGCTAGCTTTGTTTTTCAAATGCAGGCCTAGTAAGTCCCTTTAGGGCAAGGATGCTCAGCATAGGCACTGGGTAGGTAATCAGTAACTGTCTGTCATTTATTAAGTAGTCCCTCCTGTCACTCCAGTAAAACCTTAAGTGCAGCCAGGGATCCTTCCTTCAGATGTTTGACATCATGGGATATTTAGTAAGAAAGCTTAATCCCTATCTGTAATACTCTTCTAAAAATTTAGGACAGGGTGGGTCTTCAACATCCTACAGTCCCCTTTGATCACTTTCAGCAGAGGCCTGACTGGTTCTATGAATCAGCCCTGGCTTAGTGGCCAGTTAGTGCAATGCTGTATGAACAGTAACCCAGTAAATCAGACTCAAGTCTTACCCAGAATGTACTTCCCAGTATCATACAAAAGAGATACGTTTGTTAAAATGTTCTCAATGATTCTGTATCCAGTTGGTGTGAGCAAAGACCCCCAAATGCTATTAAACTCCTTAGTGATGTGAACCAGATGGAAAATAAAACAAAAGAATTCACAACTCATGTTAGACTGAATTGAATGTCTTTAATTTCACACAATGAATAACATATGAATAGGATTAACTTTTTTTTTTTTTTTAATAGTTAAGTGCTCTATACTGTGCTAACCTGATCTGGTAGCGAAAAAGACTGAGCTTTCTTTTAGAAAAAAATGTTTAAAACCCAACATCTAAGACCATGGAGGAGCATGACAGTAAGCATGCTAGATGTATCTACGCCTCAAATAACAGCAAGTCCATGTTCATTTTAAATGTACAAAAATGCTTTATGAATAAAAACTGTTACAAAAAGAACATTTCAAACAATGTACAATTTTCTTGCCTCTATATTCAATAAAATACAAATACATTTTTTGTTCTAAAATATGTTTACATACAATCAAAGTAGAACATGCAAATTACACTTTAAAAAAGGCTTTTAAAAACCACTTATGAATACAAACTAAAAATTAGCCAGCACGACTTGTAAGACAATCTTGTGCCCCATTTTTTTCTTTTGAAATATATATGTACATATTTAACACATCATGTGCATTTATTATTATTTAAGAAATAGATTTTTTTTTTTTTAAAAAAAGGAAGAAAAAGAAAGACACCAATCTAGGGTGGAACTGCCCTTCCACGTTGACCAGTTGGCAGCTCCTTTCAATTTCCCCCCTTTAGTGTTTATTAGACCTGGGCAAGTGGGCAATAGATATCCAGGAAGTTTCTTCCTTGGTTGATATGTGCTTCTAAGACTGTTCCCCAAATGACTGAGTCCAACAGGGAAGGAAGACTCATCAGTGGGGTGAACTCTCCAAGAAACAAGAGGCAGAGAGGACCTTGTATTGTGGAAAGAAACTTTAAGAAACACCAAGAAAATGCTACGGTATATTACAGTTCGAGTTTCTAGGCACTGTGATGACATTATCTGTAAGCTCTGGCATTTGGACCACTGTGATACTATAGGGTAGAGTTGAGAATAACGTCTATATTTATCTACTTTTACATAACGAGAAGGACTGAAAATCCTGCAACGTAACACTTAAATGGCTTTTGAGGCATTTCAGCTTCTGCCACCCCTCTCTCTCCATGCTGCAGTTGGTATTTAAAGGCTTTGGAAATATGTGTATAGACTTTAGACAGTTCCCAGGTAAATCTTTCTAGTGATAGGAAAAAAATATTCTCCAAAAGCTCATTATCTGAATATTGTTGGGTAATAAGCTACAAGAGGGATTTTCTACTTAAGTCTTAAAACCAAATCCTTTATGATCTGCATGTAGTACATCACCTTATACTATAATTCTGTCACCACTTGCTTATCATATTTATAGACCCAGCAATGTGCAGAACACAAATTCTGACTGCCATTGAACATGGCCTCCTACTCCGGACAGCAGCCAAATTAACATGCTAATCTTCTGCCAGCCCTTAGTCACCTTCTCTGGGTTGTTAGTGGCTGCTGATTCCTGGTCCTGCCAAGTCACAAACCAGCCCCTGACATGCTTTCCTTTCCTTTGACCTTTCTTCCTTGGGTTTTCGCCAGAGCTGGGCTATTTGAAGAAGTTAAACTTCTGTTCCTCTCATTTGAGATGAGGGGTGGAAGAGTAAGTAGCTCTTCCAGACACTTAGCCAAGTGGATTAAAGATCCATCATCACCTTCAAGGAGGCTTTTGTATCTAGATTTCATCCTTTTCTCATCACCAACCAGACTCCTTACAAGTGGGTCCGCATCTGCTTACTGAAGTCAGGTCATCCAGAAAACAAAAACTAAAACCAAAACCAAAAAAAAAAAACAACAAAAAAAGAGAAATAAAAATCAAGGGGTTTCTCTTATAATGAAATATTTTGTGAAGCTGTATATGGAGTACCATGTATCCCAAATGACCTCTTCTCAAAAAAAAAAAAAAAAAAAAAAGGCAGCCCCACCCAGAAGACAGTGTTGGGGGGCCCAGAGACCTCCACGATCAGGGTCAGGAGAGTTGGGTTTTCTTCCCAGCTCTGCAACCAACTGTCTGTAAGCTGCATTGGCCCACGGCTGAGCTGAGTTTGGACAGGTGGGGAGAGGCTAAAGGAATTGGGGGTAGTTAGAGAATAAGGAAATGGTTGTACTGATGAGTTAGGTAAATGAAAAGCGGAAGAATAACATAATGTGATACTGAGAGAGGAACTGGGTGGTGGAGAGAGGAAGCTGTGTAGGTGACCGAACTTGCTTCCGCCTCCAAGCGGCTGTTTAGCATGCCTCAGCTTTGGTCCTCTGCAGTATTCCAGTCTATTCCTAGGGTCATACAAGTAGGGGATTCGAATTTAACTCACATGACCACTATAGACCAGAATTCACGTGTAAGTTGCAACTCTGCTATTAAATCTCCTGAAATATCTTTCAGGGCTTTGGAAATTCTAATGTACCCCAAAGCTTTTTTGGAATTTCTCACCTACTAGAGGTTAATGTCAATTAAACTTCGGGTCCTTATTAAAGAAGTTTGCAGAGTGCCAGCTCATCTTCCTCTGCAAGAAGATTGAGTCTGCTTATAGACGTGGCTGGAGAGACAGTACAACACAGGAAGGAGGAAGGGCAAATGAAAGAAAGAAGGAAATGATTTCAAAACCCAGGAAGAGAAACCTCTTTATGGCTGAATTGGAATGAAAATGGTTGCTGTTTCTTAGCAATGGTGGGGTGAGAGGGGCTAATTTAAACCTTCCTCTCGGGTGACTTTGGAACCACTCAGACAGGGCTTGGGAATGACGAATTAAAAATGGCTGCTTTGATTTTGCTGTTTAACTTGTGTGAAATGCCAAAGGTCAACCAAGGTCACAAACTGAATATCTAGAATATAAGCTTTAAAGTAGAGGGGAATGCCGTCCTTTAAACTTACATATTGCCAGTATTAAATACGACTGACCTAGCGGGCAGCAAATGATGTGAAGTCCATGGTGACAGAGCACAACAGTATGACTATGTGGGTAATTTCAACCAACTCTTGGTGCCATAACGGAGCAGTAATGTTTGCAAGCACATTAACTTGGAATTTAAAAATTTACTCACATAGATACCCCATCACTTATTCTCTTATGTTGCCAACAAAAATCCCTCTCTCTCTCTCTAAGGAAATAATATTGTGTTCTGAAATGATAATACAATTTCCAGCTGGTCCCAACTTCCCGTAAAGAAACTTAATTTGGAGGTAAACCAGATATTCTAATTCCCATTAGAAAATTTAATTCTCTCTCTCAGTGTCCCTTTCTATAATCTACCATGCCAGGTGTTTGATGTCTTGGGGAAGGTAAGGGGGAGTGAGGGAGGAAATTGAAAATACTTATTTGAAATTTCCACAATCTGACTTTTAGAAAACATCTACGGAAATGGAATTCTTTGTATTCATTCTGAGCCTGCTTAACATATTTTATTCGGGCTGTGGAAATGGATAATAGAGATGGAATATCTGTCCACGCTAAACCAATGGTTAGAGTACAACTTGGATGAGAAATGTACAGCTGAAATTGACCATTTAAAAGACGATTTGTCACACACAGTTTGCATCCATGCAGACTGATAGATTTATAATTACATTATGTACAATAATGTTTTAGTTTATTAAGGCAACCACAATTTGGATACTTTGTCCAAGGTGGCTTGATATAATTGAAGTGGTGATACCCTTTGAGCATTTTATTTATTTATTTTTCCAGATAAGAACACTTACTCCCATTTGCTTTTAAGAAATAATTATCCAGGGATAATGGACTTCTTCTATTGTCTTTTTGTTTCCTTTTTTTTTTTGAACAACCTATGACAATTATTCGTATGAAAAAGATCAGGTACCAAGGCATTGCTAGACACTTGTCTTTCTGGTGGGTCTGGGGTTTCAGTTTTTGGTGGCTTGTCAGTTATTCTATTTGCTGTGGGGTATTAAAACCATTTTATTCTGCCTCTGCTCTGCTGACATGTTTTAAGTATAAAAATAGCCTGGTTGACATCTGGGTCAACATATCCTTGGCTGCTCTGCGTCACTTATTAAAAAGGTTTTATCAATACTGAGTATGTTTCACAATGATTGGGATTCAAAGCCAGGTTCTTGGAACAGCATGCCAAGGTTGAACTTTACAGCACAGGTTACGGATTGTATTATTTAAATGTGTACCAAGATTAAAAAAAAAAAGCAGCAAGTACGTTAATGAAAAGATATATGGAAGTACAACGGGCAAAGGAAAAGTAGGAATAGACAACGCTAAAAATCAGTGTATGTGCGACAGAAGAGGCACAGAGAACATGAATGCGGGTCTAAGGTCGCCTATCACTAGAACTCCACCTTCTGATCACACAATTCCATCTGAGAAACTGTACGGTTAAGGGAAAGATTCAGGTCACCTGAAGATGACGTTGGTACCCCAAAGCTTAGCAGAGCTTGAAAATCAAAAGAAATAAAAACCAATTAAATGGAACGGGTTACAGCAATGCCAGTTGAGCAATTTGCAGCTTTTCTCCCCTTGGAATGTTTCCTAATTGAGGGTGTTTCCCTTTCGATTTTCCTGGCCAGCAAATGAAATCGGAGTCGAGGGCGCACCTTGGCAGCGGGAGGTCAGGAGAGCGCCACCAGCCTGCTCCTCCTGGGGGCCTTCCGCTCGCCTGCGGACGATCCAGCCGTACTGAAGCGCCGCGTGGTGGGAGCTGCGGTGAAGCTGACAAGCTTCTTCTGAAGGTATCTCCCTGCTTTGCTTTCCCTAGAGCTCCTGATGGCTCAGCCCGTCGTCTGGCCGGATTCTGCCTGCCCGGCTTCTGGAGAGAAGGGCGTGGGTGTCCCTGCAGCCGGGGATTCCGCCCCCGCCCACTGCGCTTCCCACGTGTCAGTTCCCTAGGCCCCAGGTGCAGACGCCCAGACCCGCCCTAGGGAAGGACCTCGCTCTCACTCCCTCGGGACTTCCTCTGCCTTTTGGCTTTCACCTCCTCTTCCTGGGGAAGGGGCTGCTGCGGGGGCGGCTGCTGCGGGGGCTGAGCGGGGGCCTGCGGTTTGTGTTTCCTCTTTCCGCCTCGGGGGGTCTTGGGTAGAGGGGGTGGTGGGGGTAGGGGCGGTGGCGGCGGTGGCGGTAGGGGCGGTGGCGGTGGCGGGGGCAGGGGCGGCGCCTCCCGGGCCATGTGGATGACCGCTTCGATGGTGGCCATGATGGTGTCTTGGCTGGCGGCGGGCTCCAGCACCAGCGGGCTCAGGCTGGGCTTCTGGCCCCTTTTGCTGGGCAGGTCGATGCATTTTTCCAGCACCGGCATTTGGTCTCTGGAGTCCTCATCGAACTGGGTGGGTTGCTTCCTGGGACGCCCGCGCCTCTTCTTCACGAAGTTGTTGCCTGTTTTTGATTGTCTCTGCAGCCGCTTGGCCTTCAGGATCTTGTTCACGTGGTCCAAGTTCTTCTTGGTGGATAGGATCTTGGTGTAGTTGCACATCTTCCGCACTTCGCACTGGATGGCTTCGATCTCCCGCCGCTTGAACCTCTTCTTCAGGGAGGAGCCGACTGCAGGAGGGGAAGAGAGAAGAAATTGAGCACAGGATGCAAGGTTGCCTTCAACCCAGCCTCTTCACTGACAGCTAGCATTCTACTTGGCTATAAAGATTATGGAGAATTAATGCTATGGGTATTAAAATAAAAATAAACATTTCTCAAATATTCATTGTGCATGCAAAGTACTTCTATTTACATTATTTCAGTCCTCCCAACAATTATGTGAAATATTGTTGTTCCCTTTTTAAAGATGTGGAAACTGAGGCTCACACTGTTGAGGTAAACTGGCCTAGAGCCGTGGGACTCAATGGCAGAATCACAATATAAATCTTCCCATTGTTAATTTTATTATACAGGTAATTTTTTATTCACCCTTTTGACATTTGATCTGATTCAATTTAGCACAGGATTAGACTTTCTCTTTTTGTAGGTGTTGGATGAATGAAAAGGCACATGGGCCTCCATATCAAGCAACTGGGATCATGCAGATATACTATCGATCTCATAGAAGAGATGCCTTGGCTTGATCAAGAATAAGAAAATGTAAGTAAACCATTTTATTCCTAACCCTTCTCCACTGACACAGGGAGGCCTATTTCCTGGAGCACTCTCATTATCATGGCATCATCTCTCTGTGCTTTTCCCCCAGCGTTCTGGACTACTCAGCTTGCCTGATGGCATTCAGTTAACCAGGTCCTTCATAACCAGTTCATCCTCTGGGAACCTCAAGGGAAGTATCAGCCAGGTGTTTCTGAATCATTTACACTACCCCTACCAGGCTGGCGTTTGCAAAGAGCTCTTTTCATGTCCTGTTGGCCAGCTGCAGCTGCACCTCTATTTTATGAGCCGAACTTCTTGTCTCAGGAAGTCCTGCACTGCTGCCACTAAATGGCCTTCAGAACTGCTTAGTTTTGAAGTTCAGACAGCATAAAGTGTGAATGGCTTCAAAACATAGCCAGCCATTCCTCCTGCAGATCGTTCTTTCTCCTTGTGTTGTTCATGAGCAAGCGCATGTGTGATACCTGTCTGCACACACACACACACACACACACACACACACACACACACAAACGGGCACGTACGCTCACACAGACTCCATGGCTCCACCTTCAAGGTGGCCACTCCCCCTGGCTGTTTATAAACATAATAAGTGTGTCTTCACCGAGTTCTTTGCTGCTATGATTTACGCTGCATGTTCAGCCCGAAACGAGCCCACGTGGAAGACCTACGCATAGAGGGGAGTGTGGTGCATTTTATCATTTTGGTTTGTTGTTTCCTCCCATAATTTTTTTTGTACCTACTAATAGAGAAGCAGAATAAATATCTTAAGAGAGAGGAGGAAAAAGGATGCTTAAAACATGGATACCATTCTCACTTATTCTTGGGTACTCCCACTTGATTCTTTCCTCTGCTTTGTCCCATTTCTCTCTCATGCTGTGCCCAGCACAGATTGCCAGGAAGTTATTTACACCCCCAGCTTCATGGAGTGGGGAGAGCTGAGTCCCACAGGCCAGGTCAAAATGTTACTGCTTTTGGCCAAAGGTCAGTAAGACTGACCGAGCAATGAATAACTACTGAATGATCTTTAAAATAAGTTATAAAGATCAAAATAGAACAAAGCCAGAGTGAGCTTCCGACTATAAAAATAAAATTTTTGTAGTTAGTTTTGTAAAAGAAAAAGGTTGCCTGGTTGTAAGTTATCAGAGGCAAGAACCAATGCTTGTCTGTCTTTATGGCCCTCAAAGGGCCTAGCAGGGTGCCTGGTATGTAAAAGAGATTTAAGAATTGTTTCTGGACTGACAAATCAATCTAATCAGGCCTTGTAGTCATATTCGCTAGAAGAGTTCTAGTTTGAATTTTTAAAGTGACCATTGCAAATATAGTTATACTAAAACTTAGTGGCCGGGCGCGGTGGCTCAAGCCTGTAATCCCAGCACTTTGGGAGGCTGAGACGGGCGGATCATGAGGTCAGGAGATCGAGACCATCCTGGCTAACATGGTGAAACCCCGTCTCTACTAAAAAAAATACAAAAAACTAGCTGGGCTACTCGGGAGGCTGAGGCAGGAGAATGGCGTGAACCCGGGAGGCGGAGCTTGCAGTGAGCTGAGATCCAGCCACAGCACTCCAGCCTGGGCGACAGAGCGAGACTCCGTCTCAAAAAAACAAAAAAACAAACAAAAAAAAAAAACTTAGCCCACCTCCATGTCAGTGACAGATAATTTACTTTGTCCACATAGTCCATGAGTCAATGGCAACTAGTCAGTAGTAATACTCCACAAAACTTGACACTATTCCAAGCAAAGGTTTCATTTACAGTTTGCCCTCTCTTTAGTTTATATCAGCCATAGAGGAAGCAAATGCTATGTGATATGTTATATAATATAGCATGAAAGTATAAAGGAAATCGCCTTGCTGACATGTAATATAGCATAGAAGTATAAAGTAAATCAATTAATTGGCAATACTGTATTTGACTGAGTTAAGCTTGACGGAAATACTCCATGAGCTGCAGGTCATTTGGGGAAAATACAACCAATGGATTGTCGCTCTATGTGTTGTCTTTTTAAAGTGAAATGTCAAAATAAATAAGTAAATAAACAAACCCCCAAAACAAAATCTCCAAACCAAAATAAAGAAATAAACAGAAACCTAGCAGATAGCAGCTAATTCCATATTCAAAAACATGTGCTGAATAACTTATTAAGTCTTTGCATTAAAAAAGGATTATGAAATAAAAATTAATTCTGATAGTGTAAATCTACCAAACAATCCTAAAAAATGTCAAAACAACTCTTTTGTGCTCACCATTCACATTTAGCAAATGTTAACTTTTTGTCACATTATTTTTTTTAGTAAGAAAGAAAACATTACAGATTGAGCCAAGTCATGGCTCCCTTCTCCATTCCTTTCCCTTTCTTTTTTATGCTTGTTTTAATCCTTTTGTTGCATATAGATGAGCTCATATTGGTAAAAATTAAAAATCTGAATCTACCTAGTGTTGGTAATGATGTAAGAAACTGGGAACACTCACATACTGTTGGCGGGAGTATAAATTGTTATAATCATTTTGGAGAGTGATTGGGCAATAACTGTCAGAGTTGAAGATGTACACATTCAATGTCCCAGCAATTTCATGTCAAGCTTGCCTCCTTTACTTATATATAACAGGAGGCAAAAGTTATATAAGGATGTTCCTTGAAGCTCAGTGTATGATACAGAAAACTGAAAACAATCTAATTAATCAACTGTGATACATAAAACAATGCAATATTATACATCGATTAAAATGAATAAACTACACATAAATATATCAACATGGTTAAATCTTATTTAAAGAGTTGAGTAGAAAAGGAAATCACAAAAACATGTTTAAGTATACTACTTACATAACTTTAAAAACACACATACTTCTTGAACTTTTATTTTATCTTCAGAGTCCAGTTGTGGAGGTTTAAAGTGACTGCTGTGTAGGAGATCAACTGTGAGTCAAATACTTGGTGGATGACTCACCTACTAGTCAACATCTACTTCCCCCCAAGGCAACCTCACAGAGTTTTATTAAGCCTCTAGAGTAGGGTTGTCCAACAGAGTTTTCTGAGATGGTGAAAATGTTCTCTATGTGTGTGCTGCTCCATAGGTAGCCACTAGCCACTTGTGGCTACTGAGCACTTGAAATGTGGCTGGTGTGACTGAGACACTGAATTTTTAATATCACCTAATTTTCATTTAAATAGCTACAGTGTGGCTAGTGGCTACCCTATGGGGCAACACAGCTCTAGAACTACCTACCTTGACATACAGAGGACAGAAGACACACAGGGATTCATTCAGTAAATTGCGGACTGTGGGAGACTCTAGGCAAACAACCTGGTGTCTTCAACAAATAAATTGCCGGGCAGGGGGAAGATGAAACTGTGCATCAAAAGAGACTAAAGAGATAAAGTGACCTTATTTGGATGACAGTTGGAACAAACTGTTAAGAGAGATCATGAAATAAATGGAAATGTGAACTATGGGCATTTCATGATATTACATAATTACTGTTAATTTTCATAGGTGTGATATTTGCATTGTGATTATGCTTTTTGAGTACCTATCTTTTAGAAATGCCTATGAAAATACTGATAGATGAAATCACATACTATCATCTGGGATTGACTTTAAAATACTAAGGAAGGGAGGAGGTAAGTGGAAGTATTGATGAAACAAGATTGACTGTAAGTTGATATTGTTGAAGCTGAAGTTGATATTGATGGGTACATGAGGTTTGTTAATGCTATTCTGCTTACTTTGATGTATGTCTGACATTTTCCATAACACAATGTTAAAAAATTATAAATAAGTGACAATAAAGCATCTTAAAATCTTAGGGTTGGACAGTGCTCTAATTTTCACTCTCTTGGGGCTTTATTTTACCTAAATACTTTTTGAAGAATAAGAGATGTCCTCAATGAAGGTCATGCATCCACCATCTCCCTAGAAGGCTTAGCTTGTAGCTGCCCTCCTGTTTTAATGGCATAGAAACATGAATGAGTTCTCTGTGTTTTATGCTTTCACCACCTGCATAAATAAATACATGTCATGAGCCAATCTCCATTGATGGCGTCAGGTATTGTGACAGTATCCCTCTGTCTTTTGCACATTATAGTCTTTGGGGTTTTTCATATCTACTGAACATCTGAATTTCATTTATTTTTCCTTTATGTTTGTTATCTAAACTTTCAGTTCAGATTTGTTATCCCTCTGTGTGAACAATAGCAGAGTATGGTATAGTAGAAATGACTGTGTGTAGAAGAAGCTGGAAAACAAGGTGAACTGAGATAAGTCCCTTAACTCCTCCATCTCTGTTTCTTCATCTGTTACACTGGATGGTGGAACCAGATGCTCTTGGAAGTTCCCTTCTATATTTAGTTTGCCATAATTCTTTTCTATACTCATTATCAGTTGCATCCCCAAATGTGGGGCGGCTTTCTAAAACATTTATTCATTGAATAATTCTAAAATATTAGTG